CCAGAGCCCAGTAAAACTCCATACTATACGTTTAGAGCTGAGATGAGAAGCTGCCAGTGCTTGAGCTAGACAAACTATGGCCACTCAATGCCCAGAGATGAGGATTTAAAAAATTAGAAAATAACCAAAGGAGCAAAGTTGTAGCCAGGGATTACGTTATACAACCACACATTGAGAGAGCTTCTTAAGCTTGGTTGCTACAGCTGTGTCTACCCACAATTTTACGTGGGTCATCAGCCTTCTGAAACCCTAACTGTGGTAGCCTGGTGGCTTTTTGCACTTTGCTCAGCAGTGCTTCTCAAGAAGCTGTCAGGAAAACCATCAAAGTAGATGGTTTCTACAAAGTAGATGGGTTTCTACCATCAAAGTAGAACCTGAGCTCAGATCTCAGTGACTTTTGATGGGATTGACCGAACTTTGTGCTTTTAAAAATCCACCCCTAGTTCTCTGCAAAGTGATGGCTTCCCACATGCTCTGTTATGCTTACAACTGTGAGTGTTTGATGTTTTGTGACCTCCTCTCATTCATTATCACTCCACTTAATGTCATGGCAAAAGAAGGGTAATGATTCTTTTTTTGCACTTGTAACTAAAATGCTGCCAGAGCAGAGGGTACGTGTTGGCTGAGGTCTTTATTATGCAACTATATGCAGATCACTGTGAATTGCATCGTCCATCTAGTTCAGTGATGCAGCACCAAGGTCACTGGGCAGATGTAAGCTAATGATGCAACCATAAGTCTAACAAATGTGCCTGGTAACCACAGCAAACGTATTGTCATTGTCGCAGATGTTATTCTTTCAAAAGCACTTGGCAAACAACTAAAACACAGCCCTTGTTGACCTTTCCTAAGAATGCACCATCAGGAACGTTGAGGAGATGAGATTCTTTAAGAAGACAGTCATGGCCTACAGCTACAGTATTGGTATTGCTCATAGCACTCTTACAGTTTGCTTAGAATAAACAGGCAAGAGGGTAACTGATCACGAATCACTGAAATTTTGACAGAGAGTAGATTTTGGAAAGAAACATATCCATGAGTGATACCAACACAGGTAGAGATCAATTCCTACATACAATGATCTAGGCAAGTCAGCTTTAATTATGCAGTTGATTTTTATAGTCATCATGATGCAGTAACCCATTACTTGCTGATCCTTTTCTTATCTTTCAGGAAATACATTAATCGGTAAATGCATTGTGTCACCATGATCTTTGTCATTATGTGCAGTTATTCCCCTCAGGGCTTATCAAATGCTGCAACTGCTGTTTCTTTGGAAGGATATACATCATCTCCCAGGCTGGGTTCAACAGATGGTTGATATTATGCCCTGAAAAGTGGCAATCTACTGTTCAGAAATTGTTGCAGCTCCAGTGTCTTGCACCCTAGCATATATATGTATATCTCTATTTTTACATATGGATATATTTTTATGTATATAATCTATTCTTATCTGCCAGACCAAGAAACCCACAATGGTCTGACCACTAAATATGCTCTTGACAATAAGGGAGAAAAAGGAAACTTAAAACAAACACAATTTCTTGAATTCTTGCTTCATTTATACCAATTATTGATAGGAACAAAGATGAGTAATTCAGCCTTACTGTAAAATTCACTTAAGACCATTCAGTGAACAGAAAATGACAATATGTGAAGATAGCTGTTTAGCAAGGCACTGAAATAAAGTGGTGGCAAGAGAGGTCTAAGTCAAGACACAGAGCTGTGTTGACTCATTCTCAAATGACATAAACAACACAGTCATGAAATGAGGTCACAGTTTTGTATATAAGCCCTCTGTGGCTTCTGAGCTAAAAATCCTAGAAAAATATTATCCTTTGCTAATGGAGCCTTTTCACCAATAACCACATCATGTGCCCAATTCAATGTGTCAGCAGCTTTTTGCCCTCAATTCAGCTTACCAACAGTTAAACTATTCCAGGTCATACTATAACCTATTAGAGATGACATGTGACAAGATGATTTTTGATAAAGAGTGGAACTTTGGTACTACAGAAGTGGCCAGGGAGAGGAGGTCTCTGGATGCAACCTGACATTTTGTCAGCAGCTGCTAGTCAGATATAAAAACATTTTATTGCCCTTGCACAGTCAGCCACATGCTATAGTTTCCTCTCACTCAGAATATATTCACTTTCATACCCCCCTGCATTTAGCTGCAATAGAACAGCAAAATGTTTACATTACAGCAGAATTGCTGCATGCTTTTATCTGAAGGTGACCTTGAGTATGCCTGGCACACAAGAAGTGCAGTGGAAGGCAGGCAAACACTTTTTCTCCTACACCTCTGCCATACTGCCTGTGTCCCACACTTATATCACCCTTTGAATTTAAAGAAAGGACCTTTGTAAATGCTCACTTTTGTGTGTGAATGCACATTAAGAACATTTCATGTGCATGCTATGAAGAACAAGAAACCAAAGACAGATTAGAAAACTTCACTCTCCAAAACCATAATTATTTTTCCCTTTATGTTCTGAAGTTTATTTGTCTCATGAATTTTTTTAACTCTTTGCAATGGGAAGCCTGAATTAAAAATCAGTACATGACACATTACTATTTTATAATCCTTTCTTTTGCAAGTAGAAAGCAACAGTTTGCCAACCTTGTATTTAAACTTTCATGGAAAGATGAGTTAAATATGAGGACCCAAGCAAGAGAAAATACAAGAAAGCTAGATGGTGTTGGGAAAGCCTGTCCAGAGAGTCAGAATAAGACCTTATTACCAAATATATTTGTTCTAAACTGATCTTAGATCAAAATAAGATTTATTTTTGATGAACTAACAGTTTGTGCTAGTGACAATAACATTTTTAGATTTAGGAAGTACACACAAGAATAACATGGTGAAAAGCATCACCATGGCTATGCTGACCTTCAGAAAGGAGAGCTGGGTTATAAGGAGGATTCTTGTTTCAAAGTAGAAGGATATCTAAGACAGTAAAACCCTCTCAGTCAGCACAGAGACTGCTGAAGGACACCATACTGGGAGCACAGCACCAACATGTACCACTTACTGGAAATCCCTTGAGAAAAGGCAAAAGGAAATTGGCACAGAAAAACAGTAAAGCAAGGGAAGTCACTGGAATTAAGATTGTAGCATTCAAAATTATGAAGACTGGAATTAAAATCTTAGCATTCAAAATTATGAAGATGTGTCTCAGTGAAGAAAAGAAAGAAGTTACAAATTCGAAGAAAATAAACATAGAATTATAATTACACTTCCATTTGCTTTGTAAATGCTGTGGCAAAATTTCAAGGTGTTCATTTTCCCCACAAGTAATTTGACTTGTCTGGTATCAAAAGACAAATTGATGTCTCCATTCGCTGCTTCCCCTGCCATTCATATCATGCAGATCAGTATGAGAATGAAAATAAAGTGATGCAGAATAGAGCCATTTTATACTTGTTTTAGACAGTAAGAATGATAATAGGAAGTGTAGGACAAAACCAGATCTAAATGTTTCTAAACCATCTTTTCTGAACTCTACAACTACTGCAACCATATGAATCTGTCCCCATTCGGATATGAGAATGCCATTAATGCATGGTAAATCAAAGTGCCTGATTTTTATATCCATACCCTGCAGTCACTTGACATGTTTATCTGTGCCTTATTACTGTCAGATTTACTCCCTGATAGAGCAGGGCCAAATTTATCATGTTTACAATTGCTGATCTTCCAAATTCACACAATTCCCACTTACATGCCATTAGATCCTGCCTAGTTATAGCCACAATTTGTTCCAGGGTCATGCCTCCAATTTGGTCTCTCTGTTTCCATTTTCATAGCCTTGCAGTAAAGAAATGGATAAATGCAGCATTTTTTCCATAAGTGAGTTGTGTTTTTTTAAGGAATTAGCTAAGTATACATTACCTTTTGTTTACTATTCATGACCTCTAGTCTGAACTAGTTCTGCTGGAATTCAATAAAATGAATTCCAGAATGGCTTGCATAGGAATTCTTAAAAAACCTCCAAATACGACAGCAATGAGAAATATTTTTACCAAAGGCTCTTGCAATTCAGAAAGAGAGTAACTCGCTTGAGGACAAATTGATCATCTAATTTACCTCTGACTTGAAAAGGATTAGGAACACAATTACTTTTGTGCATTCTTGAACAGTTTTGCCATACTAAGCTTCTGTCTAAGTGGTTGCAGCATCAGGACCCTCTGTCCCAGAATCACCAGCCCACTGTCTAGGAAGAAAATATTTTGTAAACAATTCAACAAAGAGTTCAAAACAATCAACTGAGGATAATCAAGATCATAAGAATATGCATCAAGAAGAAAGGCACCATAAGTCACTGAAGAAATAATCTGCTACGATTGATTTCCCTCACATTTCCATTTATTTCATCTATTTACTTTTCCTACCTCTTTCTACACCTACCTTAATTTTCTCTTCTACGTCATACTTAGATTTTTTTTTTATGTTGTGACTGCACCCATCTGCAATTCCTCCTGGTGGCTCAATATTTCTAATACCATATTTTAAAACATCATCTTGTGCATTCTGTACTTTATTGCCATTATATAAATGTTTGTTTGCCCTAAAACTAAAAACAGCAAATAGATTTTTCAGGGGCAGATAAAATTTTGGAGATTTGTATTTTGGCTGTTCAAATACTGTTCTGCCTTTCAGCAGACATTTTTAGGGGTTGCCTTTACTTTGTGTGGTGCTTTCCTGCAGTTACAGCAGGCAGTGGTTTGGTGAAAATTTTAAAATATAACATTATTGTGCATTAAAAACAGTACCATGGTGTTTTGGACAACAGCACCTCTTAAAATTAAAAAAGGAAAAAGAAAAAACAAGACAACATTCCTAGGTTCCCTCTGTTGTATCAGCTTGTTCCTGGCCAATTTGTCAATCTCACTAAACAGGGTCACTCAGTCTTCTGTCACAAAAAAAACCCCAAACCCAAACATATAAGTTCTGGAAATTAATTAGTAATTATATAAGATGGCAAGCTGTTTTTTAAAAAACAAATAAATATGCATTTTCACTTGATTTACTATGTCCATTAAATATTTACATAATTGCATTCTAGTTACTCTCTAGCATATGTATTGTATTATAAATACTCAGAACAGGATTTTTAATTTTAATTATAATTTATTTCTTTTTTTTTTTTTGCACTTTTACTACTTTCTCAATACAATTTCTTTTAGCTCTAAGACTGTCAAAACACCAGTATTTTAAGGCGTCTACCTGTTAGCTTGATTTTTTATTTCATTATCAGCCATTAGGAAAAAAACCAGTAAGTCATAGAATATAATTTTGTTAATGGAACCTAACACAACTCTAGGCAATCTGAAAATAAGTAAATAAACCCTTGCCTCTCCAACAACCATAAAAAGACTCTGAGAAGATAATCAGAAAATTAATCTCAGAAAACTGTTAGAAGTGCAAAAAGTCCATAAAGTAAAGCACATGGGTATGCAATCAGGAGCTGCTGTCCTTCCATAGCCAATGCAGACGTGAAAATTTTGGAGGCTGACAAACTGCACCATCCAATAATAAACAGAGCTAACACAGTTCCTGGGATCCCCCTAGGAGAAAAAAACAAAACAAAACAAAAACAAAAACAAAAGAAACATGACAAAGTCCACGTATTACTAAATGTAGCATCAAATCTTACCAAACTCAAGTTCATGTCTAGTGGCATGCTGTTGATAGGTAACACCCAATGGGAGAACCAAGAACTAACTGACATAATGAAAATCAAGTATGAGAGCAAATTAAAATTGTAACCACAAAGAGAAAAGTAATATGTTCAGTATGGATAAAAGCTTCATCAGAAGTACTGCTAATAGGATTCTACGTTTACAAATAAATCTTCTGGGCCTCCAGCAGATGCAGCTGCTTAAGTCTAATATTAAATTTAGCCAAGTTTCTATTTCAGCCAAAATCATCTTACAGAGGTTGTTAGGTTCTAAAATGGCACTATAGACCTACTTTTCCATCAGAAAGTCTGATGATGTGGAGGGATTGCATTCTGGTAACACAGAGAACAGATTTTAAGGGTGCCTTAGACACTCAGGAGAGGCTCTGAAAGACTCACACCAGCTGGATGGGCAGAAAGGTCTCCCAGGAAAAAGCTTGACTGGCCTTTTAAAAAAGTGAGCACACTAAGCACAAAGTAAGGAATGGGAAAAGAACCACCAAGGAAAAATACTTTGCTTATCGTGGCATCCTTCTCTGCACATTGAAAGGACTGTGACTTTCCACCCTAACTCTTGGTGACAGCTGGACCCATTTGAAGTCACACTGTACCCCCTTCCAGGAGCAGGGAGGCCTGGAGAATTGGTGATTATGGGACTATGGTTAAAAGCCCACTGAAATACTCCTGCAGATTACAGAGGGCTCACTATTAAACCCTGTGGGAACAAAATCTTGCCAATAAATAATGTTTCACATATGCTTTATTTGCACTCTATTTGCAGCCTGCTTCTGTAAAATGCATGAGATCATGTGCATAATACACTGCTGAAGCACATAATGAGATAGCTACTTTACACACTTTAGCTGTGCCAGTGTCAAGGACTTTGAGAAAGAATAAACCTTTGCCACTTCCTAAAGGCCTTCCTGGCGCCCCACTCTTCCAAAGCATCAGCATAATAGAAGCACAAGGGGAAAAAACAGACTGTGTATACATACTCAGGTAGGTCCTTTTATCAGAAATTATCTCCACTAATATAATTATTGCAAGTAAACCATGATGAATAAAGCTGTCCTTATGTAATTGGGTTAGTTTACTTAATGCATTCACATCACATAAAATAGTTGATTTCTTAGCAATCCAGTCACCAGGCCAGTAAGATACTTGGTGTTGCCAGCTCTTGGGCCTTTGAGGGAGGAAGGAAGAATTGATTTCACGGTGAGTCAGCACCTCATTGCAACTTCAACAAGTTAAAAATAAAACATTAAAGACCATGTGATTTAATATCCTCAGTTTAAGTGTTTTTTAAACCAATATAGTAGCATTTAGGGAAATTCCACTGGGCTTTGCAAAGCAAGTTCCTGGTCTCTCCACCAAGAAGATGCTAAGTTGCTCACCTAAACAGTGAGCCAGAAATTCAGAGCTGGTATGGATGGCTCTTTGAGCAGGTACCCATGCTGGCAGAGGAATGGGATGCAAGACGAACATACCATGCAATGACAATTTTCAGCTAACATAATGACTCTTAGGGGGCTGTCACAACGTGGCACAATTTAGAGTGCTGCTCTGCCTTGCACTGAAGTCCAATGGCCTCTCATAGTTTGTTCCAGGACTGACAGAGAGAAGGATGGAAAGGTGGGATAAAAATCATATCAGAATCAAGAGGTACCTCTGTGCACGTACAACTTCAGTCCTCGATCTAACAATGTGTTACTGCTAAAAATGGTTTGGCAGAGAGCTTTCTGTCTGTCATGTTCATGAGGGTCAAATCCTCTAGATGGGAGAAGGGCAAAAAGCACAAGCCATGCTTACAGCGAACAAGAGGACTGGGGCTGTACTGGTGTGACATTGAGATGGAGGGACACATGTGAATGTCCTTTCCACTTCCCTTTCTCTCAGATCCTGCAGATGCTGTCACCAATGTTCCTGGCACCAGCTGGGTGTAAGAATTTCTTTCTTCATGCTTACATTGATTTCCTTCACTGTTTAGTTAAGGAAGTAGTTTTACCCCCTTGTTTGGGGACTTGATATTAAAGAATTGTTGTTGCTTTCTGCTGGAAAAATGGCAATTGATGTTTCTCCCAGAAAGCTGGCCTAAAAAACTCAGGCTCACACATGAAAACAGCATAGATGGGCACAAGCAGATCTAGATCCATGCAAATTTGAGTAAGAGAACTGGTATTCTCCTTGGTACTATTCAGTATCCCAAATGTTTTGCTTTATTTATTTACAGGGAAATAGCTAATCATGAAAATTGAAAATTATTAGATTACTATGTATCTTTGCCGTAGATGAGTGCATTATCTTATATATGCTTTTGGCAAAAAAAAAAAATCAAATTATTTCTTTGAACTTTGAAATAGAAGTACGATTACTATGTATCTTTGCCGTAGATGAGTGCATTATCTTATATATGCTTTTGGCAAAAAAAAAAAAATCAGATTATTTCTTTGAACTTTGAAATTGAAGTAATCTTTCTTATAAATGTTTTTTAAAATCATAAATGTATTGCTCTTTCTTTTACAATTTAAAATACTTTTTAAAATTAAAAATAATCAAATGCATGTTGGATTTTAAAGTTGCCACTTAATTTTAATAGCATGTTTGCAATAATTAACCATGGTACTTGATGCATTCAAGCAGTTTCATATACCAGATGAGAAAGGACTGCAGAACCCTGCCAGTAGGTACTTAATGTTAGCAATTTATTTTGGAAATACCAGTTAAATTTTGTCAAGGCTATCACATTTTCGTATTTATAGATTTTCAAAAGATGTGCTTTCTGTAAATTCACAGCATTTTACAAACGTGTAGTATCTGCCTGGGGATTCCATGTACAGAAAACAGTACCCTGCACAGTTGTAACAGCTGGTTTGGAATTCACCCCATCTGTCTTATGATTATGTATCTGCACATTTTATTAGGCTGGATTATTAAACAGGTTAATCAAGAAAATATGGGAAGTGTAGGAGAACAGAGAATAAACAGCTTCTTCAGTGTCATCATCCATCTTATCAAGGATAGCTCAGAAACACTTTAATACATGGAATATGGTCAAGTTAAGCCATCATAGCTCCTCAGAAACATGCAATAAGAATTTTTCCAAAACTTCATTCCACCATATAATTTCCTTTATATGTATATATATACACACACGTAAGAAGGATGCTTTTCCACAGAAAACAAACACAGCCATTTTCTCGTTCATCAGCTGCTAGGTTCCATATGTTACAGATTGGAGAGTTAAAAATATGAAAGAACAAAAAAGACTAAGGAGGGAAACCATCATTAATAACATGCCAACAATAGGTAAAAGCACTGCTCATGGCCTTCAGGCAAGATCTGGAACTTGCTTGTACTTTGCTGTGTGTGAACAGGGAGATAAACACTGTGTCTAAAAGGGCTTACTGAATGAGGAGAAATGAGAGGCTTGCCAAAATGTTTCCTATTCAGAGAATATGACTGAACAACCCCCCACATGTGCACAGATACATACACCACTACACATGTGGTTTTCCAAAGTATTCTGGTTTTTTCAGGCTTGCAATTGCACCACAACCATACGTCAGAATATACAAGTCTACTGTATCTTAAACACTTGTCTGAATTCTTGGCTATTTCATTCAGTCCCACAGAAGTCACTAGATGCAATTGCACCACAACCATACGTCAGAATATACAAGTCTACTGTATCTTAAACACTTCTCCGAATTCTCCACATCATTAAGGGTAACTTGGCTATTTCATTCAGTTCCACAGAAGTCAGTAGGAAAGGAAACATAAAGATGGGAGGCCTGATGCTATGAACAAAAAAGAAGCAAGAGAACCAGCTATATAAACCCAAAGTTCAGGAATTGCTTTTAAAATTGATAGGCCACTGCAGGCTGCTGCAGAACCAGCTATATAAACCCGAAGTTCAGGAATTGCTTTTAAAATTGATAGGCGAGTTTGGCCACTGTTGGCTCTGCAAAACAAAAATTACAGCTGAGGCTGCTGTAAAATCAACAGCACTCTCAGTCCAAATGGAAAGCAGTGGAATTGAAGACTCATATCAAAATGAATGTATACCACCCTTCTCAAATACAGTCTAGTTTTTTCTGTTTCCACCTATATGTACAACCAAACCGGTGTTACAGTTTCAGAAGCCAAAATTTATGATGTGACCACTTATAAAATGTTTTGCACAACTCCAACCATCTGACTTCCTGTCCGTCACAGGATTCGTGTTGCCATGGGCTGGTACTTACTGCAGTGAGAAGACAACTGCAGAAGAGGACAGGATGACCATGGGCAGCAGGCAGTAGCCCAGGACGCTTGCGACGCAGCCGTGTGAGACTCCTGAGACACTCATCAGGTTGAGCAGGGCATGCATGGCAAGGCACCCCATGGCACTCATCCCATACACGTAGCCAAAATGAACTTTCCCTGCCTGGAATAAATAAGAGGAAGCATGAGCTGTCAGAAGTGAGTAGTGATCACTAAGTGCTAGCAGAAGATAGGTTTAGGTTTAGGTTTGTTACTCCTTGTTGACACTTTCTCTCTGCTTCACCTACATCAGTTCAGTTGTGAACCACAGATGATACTTCAGCGGGATTTTTGCATAAAAAATAATTCCAAGGTGCAATTGACAAAATGTGCTTGTTGCTAACTTGAAGTTACAAGGCTGATTCTCAGTCTTACTGTCATTGGGCTCTGAACACGACTGGAATTGGTTGGGAGATTTTGGAAAGTTTAACTCGCAACAAACTAAGAAGAAATTATGGAAAGCACATTTTAGTAATTAAAAATCAGTTTAGGCTCAGGAAACATCTTTTCAATAAGTGTATATGGGGCCGTGAAAAAGTGCCCTAAGTAATATGATGGCCCAGGTTAACTGATACGCTTCACATTTCATTACAAACCTTCAGCTATAAGCAGGTCTGCAAAAACATTGGGAAAATTTTGCTTAAACTATGGTTGTTTTCAGGGCAAATGTGACTGTTTTTTCCCTTGACTACCACAAGATACATTTCTGTGCTTAGAACAATACAATGTGTTCATTTCAACATAAAACTCAGTGGTAACTGTCAGCTTATGTTCTTTTTTTGTTCTAACAAATGAAAAAAATCCCAGATTTTTTTTCCTTCTAGGTTTTATTCCTTTGTTTGAATTTATTGCCTATGAAAGGTACCAGCCTGGCAGCCTGGAGCTTGATGTTTTCTAATTTATACACAAAGCCAGTAAAACAGGCAACTGTGGCCACAGAACCACCAATTCCTTCATCTCCTGCCATCATTTTGAAGGATCCCTCCAGGCATAAGGGCATTGTTCACTCCCCAAAATAAACCATCACAAAAGACTGTTAAATATGTTTTTGTCTCTCTTCAAGTTTCTAACAAATTAAATGCTGAAAGTTGGCTATGCAATACTGTCATTTTCACATCTGTGCACTAGAAAAACATTCATAAATCAGAAATCTGTTTTTTTCTTGGAACTTTGTATCCTAATGATAGAATGCACCTGTGAAGGAGAAAGTTCAGACCTGGAACTTAACCATTAACTCAGAACCATGGAGTAAACTTCTCAAATGAAGGGGCACTATGCATCACCTTCCTGACACATAATAAGGTGTGTATACATACATAAAACACAAGTGTGTTTGTTCATACACACACACACACACACAAAACCTATATGTTGCACACACTATATATTATGTATATAGACATATTGCATATGATAAACCACATAAGACTCAAAACTAATAGATGGTGTCAGTTTCCTAATAACGCTGTTGCTTATGGTTTGATTCTGTTGTGATGGAATAGCTGGAAACATTGTTGATTCTTTTATGATATTTTGTGATACTTGCTAGATTATCTCCCATGATGGCTAAGGAGGATTGAGAAGACCTCTGACTTTACTTATCCATACATTTTAAGGAAATCTGGGGCAAATCAACATTGAGGACCCTTCTCTGCCCTCTCTTTCTGTATCCATGCATATGGAAATTTATCACTGGATGCCAGCAGTACTTGAGCTGGACAGACATAAAGCAACAGTATGGAGAAGGCCTACAAGTGCTGACACAGCTTCCAATCCTGATGCTGCAGGTTGGTGGCAGCTCACCAGCTCTCACTGGAGAGAAGTTCATGAATGTGAAATGCAAACTGAGTTAGTAAGACCTGACTTTACATCAGCACCATTAATCCTGTCTGCACTCTGACCTGGCTCACTGCTGAGCTCTCCTCTAATCCCAGTCCTCAAGGTTAAGTCAGGTACAGTCAGGCTGCCTATATCCTTCCAGCACTCTGGCCTTTTCCCCATTACTGTCTTCCACCATAAAGAATAATCTATTCCTGAAACCACAGCATAAGAAATCTTCCAACTTAGGTACAGGCTTCTTTTGCTGGCATTTGCGTACTAGTGGTATGAAATAATCAGGGAAAATTGCTTGAACAAATAAAACTAATGATAGCAAGAGACAGTGTGGAGAGCAATACTAGCTCAGATGATTATCAACTACAATTTCAGTCATTATGGACAAACAGTAAGTTTAACAGTCACAATGATTTGGGCCAGCCTTTGCTATACACCAACTAAGTAAAGTTCTGTCTTTAAACAGATGCATCAACTACAAGCTATATTTTAGACTGCTTGTTTTAGACTGTGCTGCTCTACACAGCAGTATTTTTTTTATTAGCTTAGTTTAAGATTAAAAAATTCCTGAGCCAGAGATGAAGGGAGCACTAGCACCAGCAGCTAGCTGATATCTCCAGTTGGTGAAATGTTGGATTTGTGGTGCAAGGATAAGCAGCTGAACATGTTGGTTCCAATTTTATTCTTACTTAACATATGTAAATATATTGACTCACACACATGGGAATACTCCCAGTTCACAGTGATGTAAGCAAAACCAGAATCAGGCTTGATTAGTCTGACAGGCTTTGATGAATGGAAAGAGCTAAATTTGTCCCGCAGAAAGAGCAAGGTTAGCAGAAAGTCAGACTTTGTGTTCTTGCTTGCATCTGCCTGGAGTGGGTACTACCACCGTTGGCTGGAGAGGATGGAGAAATCTGATTTCATCCAAATGACAGTGTAAAATGCAAAAAAAAAGCAGCTGAGACATGGGCTTCTGCTAAATTTTGGGCTGCCATTGCTTCTCTATCTACAATGGAGCTGACCTGTTTCACACTAACGTGAGGAAGAACAAGTCCTGCTGCCAGACTAGCAGCCTTTTCCTCTTTTTCTCTGCAAGGACTGCTACCCTTTGAAGAATATCTTTGCATAATTTTCCATAGTTAAAAAGCTGAAACTAAAGAAAATGTATACATTATTTTTAGAAACAAGCTCTCAACCAAATGATGTTCCTAGTGCTATCAGAAGATACTTATTTAAGTACAGAAGGATATCATAGTTTACACAGCTGAAGAGACATGTTAGTATTCAAATACATCTGAGATAAAATGGTATCCTGAATTTCTAAGATAAATCCAAAGGCTTACTGCTGGGAAGTTATAGAACAAAACCATTGGATTGTGTCAGAGGTGTTCTGCTGCCCTAATACTGAAGCATTGAAAATACTTGGTTTTCTAATGACACCTAAAATGCATAATATCTCAGTAAAAGTATGATAATTAAAGTAATTTATTTCAATAATAATAGTTTAGTGTTCATTATAATTCTTGGCTATTCAGGGAGAAAAGTCAACAGGAAACATTTTTTCTGTTCTTTCTTTTAGCTTTCCTTTCATTTTCTTGATTATAATTAATTCAACTTTCTCTTTTTACTACACTCATACATTTATTTCTCCAGGTGGAAAATAGCCTATCTTCTCTAGCTTCACAGCTTCTTTTCCTTTTATTCCCTTTCCTCCTGCCCCTTCCACCCTTTTAAAGGATTTTTATTTTTATAGGAACATAAATAATAATAGTACTTGCCATTTATATAGCAGTTTGCACATTCAAGGTACCGCACTGACATTACAAATTGAGTAAGAACTTTCAAGAATCTTCTGATTCAGCACTGTTTATCACAGAGGAAATGGAGAATTAGAGCCCCTTTCCTCTCACCTTGGTTGCAGGGCAGTAAAGCCCTTCCCAGAATGGTCCCACCTTACTGCTGTCTGATGAATTGCTGTTGGCAGTCAGAGCTGTACTTCAGCAACACTGGAGAGCCCCTGTTGCCAGGGATATACAGATGAATTTGGAGTTCTGTACAACCCTGTTAAACTTTCCTCCTGTAGGAAAGCTATTCATAAAGAAGAAGGAGGTCAAATACAGGCTACTATATTTTGTTAAACAGACAATATAGAACAAAGAACATAAAATAAGAAAGTGATAGCAAAATGTATAGGAAGGTATTGCAAATTTAAGGGGGTGGGAGAAAAAGGCTGCTTCCAGTTCTTTTTTCTCTAATTATTCTAGTTGTATAAAGATTTTTTTTAGTCTATGTGTCTCTGCACTCTCTAAAATAACATGGAAAGAAGATAATTCTAAAAAACTAGCAAGAGTGTTAGAAAAAATGGGCTGGCCTGCTATTCCTTTTTACTCCCTCCTTTAAAACTATTCAGAGCCTTTCCAGATTATATATGGCACAGATCTGTCCTTTTGTTCATATTAAATCCCATTCCAAAAATGGCGTGGTCTCCTCTTTCCCCTGGAAGCAATAAATCACTTTACCTGTGTCACCTTTACATCACATTTAAATTTTACACAGGTGCTTTCAAAGTAGGAAGAATTTTTAACACATAATCCCAGAATAACTGGCAGTAAATTACTCTTTTCATGCTGGTAGTACATCTTCTGCAACTTCACACTCATTATCACCTAGGCATGAGCTTGTTAGGAAAGAAATCCCTGAAGATTTCTACGACATCCTACCATCAGCAATGTTGCTCCAAGGGCCAAACAGAAAACCATAGGTCCAGTGAGGTCTGTCTCATTCATAATGCTGCCATCTGCAGGCTTCATTGGGTTTAGAACTGTTAATGTTTTCTGCCATATATGCTCAAAATTGATCCCAAGTTCTGCAACAAGAAATTTCAGGATTTTGTTAATTGCTTACAAGAAAACAACACTTTTACAAAAATCCATTAGGCACCACAAAACTACAAACAAATGCTTCAGTGAAGATAATATTGTAGGATGACATATTCTGTAGTAGGAACATAATGTCCCTGCTATATACTCAGTATATTTGAGAGTCAGCTTTTATTCTAAATTCGAATATTAATGTTTTAAATCCAATTTTATGCAGTGAAGCAAAAAATGGCCTCAGCATTTTTGAGTTAATATTTGTTTTTCCTATATTTAAAACACATGTATCAAATGCCACACTAACATAGATATTGAAAGACACATTAATTAACAATAACTGCAGAATTTAAGATACTCTGCAACACTGAGGACAGAGATATATGCTTTAATTCTGGAAAATCTGACAAGATATGTGTCTTAAGCCTGAACTGCCAAAAGCACTTAAAAATGACATTTGTTCCTTCAAGGCAATTTTGTACTACTTTATACAGTGCTTTATAAGCTTGGGGGTTTGTATTTTGGGTGGTTTTGGGGGTTTTTTGGGGGTTTTTTTTGGTTGGTTGGTTGGTTGGTTGGTTTTTTTTTGGGGGGGTTTGTTTTTATTTCTTGTTTTTGTTTTTTGGGGTGGGGCATGTTTGCATTTAAAAAGTAATTAGTGAAATTACCTGGAAACAGAACAAAATTCTGTCCCATTAAAGGTGATGGGAATCCTGCTGTTAACTTTGCTGGGGCAAATCTTTTCTCTTATAACTTCTGCAGAAACACTTCAGCTTGCATGAGTAATCATCTTCCCTGAGATTCTCCAGTAAGGGGAAAATTCAGATCTGCTGCCAGAACGACTGAGACTGACAATGTGTTAGATCTGTTGGGAAAGCCAAGTCTTTACCTTGTTCCACCTCTCCATCATCTTGAGCTCAGTCAAAACACTGTATATAGAAATCTATTCTGCATTAAAATGTGTGGTTTTGGTCAGATTTATGTGGTACACGGATAGGAATATCTCTGAAGCTTTGCAGATCACAAGCAGTTGTATTACAACATCCTTTTCCCAGAGTGAACTACATGGGGAGTTAAATGGTTGGGGCTCTTAGAGGTAGAGCTAGCAGTTATCTATATCAAACAGAATGATCTTGCTGGCTTTAAGGCAGTAGTAGTCCCTTCTGAGTAGTAGAAACTCCAGCTGCCTTCCAGTGTGCCAAACTAGCAGGCTGAATATGCTCATTTTATATTATGCTGAAATAATTCCAGACAAATTCTCCTTTTTTTTTTTCCCCTAATGTAGCACAAGTATTTTGCTAGCGACAAAATCAGCCACTAGCATTAGAATGGTCAATCATCATAAAGAACGACATTGCTCATATAGTTAAATGATCAACTAATTGAAACTGAAAGCAGCTTTCTCAATTCCTTCCCACTGAAACAAGCGACTTAGCATCTGCAAACTACTAAATCTATTACTAGATATGCAAAAGAAGATGATTATCCATTTTCATTAGTTACAGATTTTCCAATATGTACAGAGGATAAATGCGAGAGTGGAAACAATTTTGGAAACATGAATGCAAAACTACTGTTCTGCTGTCATCTAGCGGTGGTACAGTATATCTGCTCTAGGCCACAGGGCTGCATGAATCCATGGCGCATTCCAAGGAGAAAACGCAGGTTTGGCCACCAGGAGCTCTGGCTGAAGCTCATACAGAGAGGCTTGCCAGCTCTGCTGTAGTTTCTCTATTGAGTTCCATCCACTAGCTGGCAAAGAGAAGTTAGAGGCACCCCAGGAATCCTGCATGTCGTCTGCTGTACAAGCCCAGGGCACCGGGAATATTTCTGTGTCTGCTCTGGGGTGCCCTGACCCCCAGGGCAGCACTGACTTTGGCCCTCATTCATGGAGAAAGTTTCCTAGACTTCAAGATAGACTGGAATCCACAAAAGTGTGAAATAGATTATAGAGAGTAGTATAGGTGTATCACTTGGGGAGAAATTTAGGGTTTGAGATTTTTAGAATGCTATAGATGGAAGCAAGACGGAGGGCACAAGGTGTTGTCCTGGGTTTCTGCTTCATGCTTCTTCTTCCTTCTTCTCCATGGGTTTGGGTGGCATTTTGTAACTGGGCAGAAAAGTCCCCATTGCAGGCTCTTTGGGATCAGTTATTGGGTTAAAAGGGAAAACAATCTAGGTGTCAGTTCTTAATTGCATAGTTTAGTCTTGAAAGACCTTGTAACAAGAGATTGTTAGCCAGTTTGTGCCTTCTAATGAAAAGCTGCCGAACTCACAGTTGTGAAACTGTTTTACTGATGAGAAATAATAAACACCTGAGTCCGAACATGAACTACTGTCTCAAGTGCCTTCAATCCAGACCCAGAGAAACCGACAGTCTGTGGGACTGGTTTTGTTATAGATCCATATTATAGTATTGGCTTTTTGCAAACATGAAAATGAATTTTACATGTGTAATGTTAAAGTAACTTTGTTATAAAGATATCGTTTTTATTTCTGTTCTTAATTAAGCTGAGACACAGACGTGAAATAGCTGAAAAAAGTATACTTGTGTTAAAATACCTCCTTACATGAGATAACATCCAATGAACATATAGAGAAAACACCTGCTACAGATATGCCAACTATCAGCACTCACCGTCTGAAGACAGTGTGAGCCAGAGACTAAAAGCACAGCCAAAGAATACACATGCACTAAAAGGGCAAATCTGATGAGGAGATATGCTAAGCAATTCTCAGAACATGTAAACTAGTTTGAAGGAAGAGTTTACCATGCATGGGAGGGCATGAATATGCAAGAGGCTGATGTAAGGGAAAAGGTGTTTGAAGGGTGTCCCTGAACATAACAGTGTGCTCTTGGCCCAGTGCCAAATGCACCCGGCCCTAATAAACTTTGCTATGTAATCCTTGCCTCCTCTTGTCCTTCATTAAACTTTTTAACTTTTCACAAGAGAGTGAACGTGTCTTTCACAGTTTTACCTTCCAGCAAAGGTGGTTCCTCGTCAAGTCCGTCAACATAACCAAGCTGAGGAGGAGTGTCGGGACTGTACGCTGGCTGCAAAATCTGCCCCGAGTATCTCGGGGGGGACGGCAGCATGTCTGAGGGCACAAAACCCTGCTTTTCTGCCAGGCTCCTAGGATAAACAAAGCACAGCCAAACTCATAACTACAGTGAGAAATGTCTTAGAGCTACTCACCACCTTCCATCTATTTTTCACCTATTTTCAGAGTGGGGAACCTGGGATTCTTCTGGGTCCAATCCTCACTGTGGTTAATGAGCGCTAAACTGCTGACTGTGCCTTCACAGCTCCCTCTGCAAGCGGGCAGAGCGCCCTGCCAGCCTGCCGGGGCCCTGCCGCCCACCGCACACTCCCACTTCCACTCCTACCTCCACTCCCACTTCCACTTCTACCTCCACTCCCAGTCCCACTTCCACTCTCACTTTCACTCCGCAGCCAGGCACTTCTGCCTTTTTTTGCCCAGCAGCCTGGCGACACTCCTCAGATACGTCCATACCGCTAATGAAAGAGCCACACATTCTTTTTTTTTTTTTCCTTGAATCTCAGAAGGATCCTAAAGAATTTCCTGCAAAGTGCACCCCAAATTTCACATTAATAGCATGAAGCTCAGTTACTCCTGTCAGGTAAACAACCTGTAACACCTCAACTAATAAAGTAGCACAAAATCAAATTCTTTTAAAAGAAAAACTCACTTGCAAACATTCTGCCTTTCTGAAAGTCTAGATGATGTTTTGAACTTCTTTCCTGCTCCTGCAAGCCCCAAAGCCAGCCCCAGAACCACCATCTGTTGAAGAGGGAAGCTGAAGCAACACCTACACTTACTTTCTGCTTTCACAGAGGTTTTTGTCTGAGCCATAGCTGTTGCAACCTTCTTCCTGGTCCTCTATGGTATAATTAGACTGGTAAAAGTCGATGTGAAACTGCTCAAAACTCGACATTCTGGTTGGAAAAATGATTGAAAATATCATAAATAGCCTTTACAACAAGCCAAAATCTATGTTTTGAACTGCCCTAAACTTAAATTAAAATAGCAAACTGTAAAGCCCCAAACTCAAGAGAATCTTAGATATGAAGCTCATGATAATTTGGAAGTGACCCAAAAAAAAAAAAACAAAACAAGCATAACAAAGACCATTTACTTCCTTTAGCTGTAACAAGAGGAATTAACCTGCTTTTACTGGAAATTACAGTATATTAATTTAAAAGTAGTATACCAGACTTCCTTTCTTGATACTGTTACCAGAAATAATGCAATTCTGAGGGAAGATATATATCTACAAAATATTTTTTTAAACAGTTCATTTTCCTACTTTCAATAAAAAAATGTGACCATATCTCAATGTTTAAAAATAAAGGTTTTAGGAAGTACTTTGGATTTAAAAACCAATTACCATTTACAGCTATTTGTGTTTTGCAATATTATATATGACTCTCATAAAACAATAGAAAAAATCCCCATATTTGTTCACAAAAATCACAGATTTTCTGTTCAAGGACACATCTGGCACATCAGTGGTAGCAGAGAAACATTCTCACTGGCCAGCAACATGACTGGTAAAAGACAGCATACTGGATGATTGAGTTGGATTGGTGAGTGGAAGATTCCTTGGTGAAATATATGCTAAAGCATATCATTCCTTCCTACTGCATGTGTTTCACCACTTAGGTAGTTAAACTCTTAAAACCCACAGAGAAGTTACATAACCTGACTGAAAACCATAGCCGTATCCAACTTACTTAGATTTTCATGTGAGATATTCATTTCTCCTAACATTTCCCCCTTTTTTTCACTTTTGTCCTCATTTCCAACTTTCCAAATGCCATTGGCAAAATATGCTTTGGACCTCACAGTTATTCTTAGAATTATCTCAATATTTATCAAGCACACCCTGCTTTTGGTAAAGATCTTTGCAAATCTCTTTGTAAGATAAAAGTGATAAAGATTACTATTTCATCAGGGACATTAAAATGCTGCATATTAGAATTTCTGAATTTTTTCCCCATTATCAGTCTAATCTCTGGGGACCTATTTCCTTATTTTGCCTAGAGTTCAAAGTAGTAATTACTCATTATTTTCTGAACTGTTGATCAATTTTGTGCAGGTTTTCCAAATAATTTTTACATTTTAAATATGAATTAATAGAAATTAATTGTACCAAGCTATTTACTGTGACTTTATTTGGAATTGCACACCACTTAGGAATTCTTTCAATGAAGATTTCACACAGGGCATGTTTTAAGAACATTTAGTTTGTAGCTCTACCTCAATAGTTCGATTCCAGTAAGTATTTAACGTCCTTTGCTGTCACTATACAGAATGAAATAATTGCTTAACCAGATATGGTTAACTCTGTATAACAGAGTTCAGAAAAGAGAAATTTATTTTCCAAAAGAATTTGGAATTGAGGTTACTTACGTTTTAAGATATTTGGTGAAAACTCCAGTCTGTTGAATTTACATGTTGACGAAGACCTAAAATATCCTCTTGCTTCAACAGGGATGAGCCTAGTGCTATTTATAAGATTCTAAATTTGATATTTGAACAGATGCACATGAAGGAAAAAAACCTCACAACCTGTCAATATCAGGGCCAGCATTTAACAAGAGCTAGCAACAATGGGCAGAGAAGGGTAGGAACCTTCAGGGGAAAATGAACAAAATGAACAAATATGTTCTATATATTTCAATGCAATAATCTAGGTTCCTTCTTAAGTAAGTATTTATGAAGATCTTGGTGGAGCCCTCATTAGCTGAGCTGTTGGACAAGAAAATGTGTCATACTACCTGTTAAAGTAGAGGGGTGAATATACTTAGGGTGTGTTTCCAGCAGCCAGAGCCCTAGAAGGGCTGTGGGATGCTCCCTGTGGGATGGTCCCTGTGGGATGCTCCCTGGGAACCCCACAGCAGAGGGAAGCAGGGAGGGAGGCTGAATGCCCTGCTGGTCCAAGTCCCTCTGCTGGCCCAGTGCCAGACCCAGTTATCCAGGCACATCCCCCTGCCCCGTTGCTTCCCCAGGGGCTCTCTCTGTTAAGCTGTCTCTTGAAGTGCAGTACCCACCATGCCAGGATCAGCGCAAGGAACCTCTGTTCCATAGTCCTGGCTACTAGGAAACAGCAGCACAGGCTGGATTTTTGAACAGATTTTAAACTTCAAAGATGACTTTTCAATTTACACCTGCTTTTGTTTGACAAACTTGACTAGCCACAACAAAGTCTGCTTTTTTCACTTCTTTATTTATTGGGTAGTTTCCCAATAAGCACTTGGGTTGTTAAATTTAAGGAATGCAACATTAAATTATATGTATTATCAGGTAATAAATCTATGCCTCAGGTATATATTCAATCCTGTGATGCTGAAAGACAGATAATTCCATTTCATTAGTGGAACAATGATGAACTGTTAGCACATGACTTACAATGCTACAGAAAAGTTATAACATAAGTGCATTGTAAAATAATTTAAAATGAAGTTTACCAAGTTTTTGCTCAGTAAGTATGCCCAAGAAAGAGTTCAGAAGTAAAGAATGGTGAGAAGGAGAAAAATGTAGCATTTGATTCTGAAAATTAAGGGTAATCTAGCTACAGTATTTATCAGAGCTATTGTTCAGTCTCCCTCATGTTCTGCTGTTTCTAGAGTAACAGTTCATGCTGCTACCAGGTCACCATGTCCTCCAAGGTGAAGTTTCATTTTCCGCTCTTAGCAAACTGCTAATCTCTATAATGTCTAATCATCTCAGTTTAGATAATATGGCTTCATCTTGTTTATACTGAATCTGTGGGGGCAATGATACAGGATTAACTTCTGTCCCTCAGGAAGGTAATTAAAAAATTTCTTTTTAGGAACAGAAAAGTCCTGATTTGCCTGGGTGTTGCCTGTTTATTTAAACTATAAGAGTGCTTTGATTACTTTTGCTACTTTCTGTTAGAAATACAAATGTATATATACATCTGTACAAAAACTGGGAATAATTATCAGACAAAAAACTTCAGAGAAAGAATTTAAATAGAAAAAATACAATGAAGAGTAGTGGAACATGGTCAAATAATACTTCAACAGCCATTTAATAGCCACAGTTAGACAAGTAAGCTATCTGTAAATTAAAAAAAGAAAAAGAAAAAGCAAAAAAATGGAACTTAAAATTGAGCCATATATATTTCTCTCCTAATATAAACTTATTATATAACTTATAATACATATTATACATAAATTACACACATATATTACATCAATATCCCTGTGGATACATACATATCCACAAATACACAAACAGAAAATAATATTAGTTAGAAATGAGAAGTAGGTGATCAAAAAGTAAAAAGAAGGTAAGTTTAAGTAGTTGATAGAAAAGTGACTGATAGAGATAAGGACTGCCCAAGTTTATTAAAAGCAGACAAAATTGTATTGCTACTGCCATGCTCCTATCAGATGTAAAAATAAAAGTATCAATAAAAGAAAAAGACAGATGCATTTATTAGAAATGCTAAAATCACCATTTTAAAATTCTGCATCAAAAAGTTTTAGAAGAAATGGCTAAAAACTTTCTATTTTGTTGAGTAATAAAACAACAGGAAAGTTTATGAAGGCAAAAAATAAGTAAACGTGCTATCTTATAAAAGGCCAAATAAGATGCCTTGAGTAATTATTGGCCTGTTCCCATGAGATTGATCCTAGCAAATTATGGGCTCAAATAATAAGTAACTGTGTTGATGAATCCAATCAACATGGGCTTTTGGAAACGAGCTCATTTCAAAGTAATTTATTTCCTAACAAGATTTGCAGTTAGGAAAGGTAACCACTGATGACCCATATTTATACAAAGCCTTTTACTTTATTTTGGTTCAATAGATATGTAACCATCACTGCTCAGTGTGACACCCATTATACTGATTAAATTAGTGCTATCTGATGTGTCTCAAATGTAATTGGGAAAGAGAGGAGGATTTCCACTGAAGCCAAACAGGACAGAAGCTTTGCAAAGATCACCTAGTAGACACTCAGGTGTGTCACAGGTACCTGATGTTCAGTCCATCACTGAGAGACCACACCGGACCAGGCTGTCACAGATGCATTAACATAAAGGAAAAATAAATTATTGCACTTAAAGGCTTTAGAACAAAGTTTGAATATAACTTTACTTTCTTTGAATGGCTGGTTCAGAAGATGCTAATAATCTATGGGGAAGAGAGTTTGGATGAGATTTAATCCTCAAAAATGAGAATTGAAGCTGGGGAATACAAAAAAGATGAATAAAATTAAATAAAAACATGAGAACTTCTAGAAGAAATTAAAACATTTTCCTTAAAGTTAACTCCTGGGTTTTCATTTGCCTACTTTCTTCCATCTTTCCTGAAAAGGGAAATAGATATGGCAAAAAATGAAATGTCATCAGTTTTCATAAATTTACATTTTCATTTTCATGGGGTTTTTTTATGAAATGGGATCATACTTCAACTTTTTTTAACTTTTGGGGAAGCATTTTTTCTGAAAAAAAAAAGAATAGAATTAAATGAGATTAAATGGGAAAAGATAGAAAAGACTATACAACTCTGGCTTTAGAATCAGCTGCGTAACCCCACATTTATTACTTAAAGTAGACTGATGAGTATGGCAAATCCATTATAATAATTAGTCAATTATTTTATAGCTTTTTGAAATGTAAAAATTGATCTTATTAAGGATTAATTCAGCAAGCCTTTAACTTAATTACTTACATTTACAGGCCCCATTAATAATTTTGCAAGTGGACATTATTAAAATGTGCTTCTAAAGAAGAGATGAAAATTTAATTGCAAAGAAATATACCATTTACTATGAAATAGGGTTTTTTACCAAATTAATTACCTACATTATATAAAGTGGTTACTTAGTGAATTTTATGTCTCAGACATATCTTTTGCAAGAGATGAATTCTTTCCTGTAACTGGTCTTCGGAGGGTGGATAAGATGCAAATTTAAAAAAAGTGAAATCCAAAGCCATTAATGTTTTCTTTTTTATGCTTAACAAGTTTGCTAGACTTGAACAAACAAATGAGAAGTTACAGGTTCCTGCATGAATAATTGTACCTATCAACACCCACTGCAAATCAAACACACAATTGTCCTGGTAGGCATTATTAGGAAAAGAGAGTGAAACACAGGGCATCATTACATCACTGCATGTATCTGTGATTCACTGACAAGTCAAATATTGTAAGCAGTTCTAGCTGTGCTCCCTCAGAAAGTATTTGGGAGGATGGTGACATGCTGAGAGAAGAGCAGGGGAGTTGTGTGTGGAACAGGCTCCATCTAAAAGCAACCAGGTCAGGTCCTCGGGCTGGAGAAGCAATCATTAATTGGGGTTTATGAAACTGTGTGACAGCGACTGGTGGGTAGGGACAAGCTGGGGCCACTTTCTTCTGTAAGACAAACAAAATTCACAAGGTGTTCAAAAGTAGGAAGAACAAAGGTTCATGGGTGACAGACTGGTGGAAATCCATGTCAAAGGAAGTGATGCATGTTTAATATCTATATGGATCTGGAACAAGTCCATGAAAGTTAAAACAACGAAGAATTACTGAATGCATAGAAACACTAAGCAGCTCAAGAAGCCAATAAACAAGAATTAGGAGAAGACTAGAAAAATATTCATGGAAAGAATTCATGATCATCTTTGTGTATTTAATCATTGTCATTGTTAAACAGGGAGTTTCTGTTTTTACTTATATGACCATTCAAATCCTTTATGTTTGTGAAGGAGGAAAGCAGCACATAAGATTACAGATTCAAATCTAAGAATGGGGAAGAAACTCACTGCATAAGACCATAATATCCCTTAATTCTCCATGGGCTGAATTTGCTGACTTCCAACAATTACCAAAACATTGCTTTGTATGACTTCTGTGATACATTCCCTTCCACTCAGCTTTTATTTCTGGTTGGAGTCCTTGTTCTCCCACCTCTGTTGTGAGTTAGCTGACTTCCAGTTTCAGATTCATCATATGTATCTTCTCCATCCAGACTTTCTTTCCTATCAGAAGGACCAAAAAACCAGAACCAAAACCAAACCAAACCAACAAACCAATGAACAAAACCACAAAAAAACCCAACAAAACCCCCTTCACGTGAAGATTTTTTTGATGTCTAAATAACACATAAGAGCTGGTTCCCAGCTTGATTCTTTGGTGTCTAATAAGCATAGGATGGTTTTATGTTTTGCTTAGTATAGATACCAACACAATTTCTTACCTCCTAGTAGTTGCCTCTTTTCATGACATTTGTAGAAACCTTATTAGCATTAAATGCTCTCCCTCTCTGTTCAACATATTCAAAACTATCCAACAAATTCTAAATTGTTGTGGAGAATGCCAAAACAGGTACATAAGGAGCATGGTGCAGCAATACTTTGTCCTTAACAAATAAAGGTTTCTATGTATTTGAAAAGATAGCAATAAATAAATAAATAAATCTTAATTTATTTAGTTTGTATGTAATACAAAAGATAGCAATAAATAAATTTAAATTAATTTATTTT